AGCAGAAGAGTTTGGGAAGGGAACGGATCTAGTCAGTATTCCCCTGGGCACTGAAGATAAGACAGAGAAAACTGTGACTTCTAAGTTCTTTCTACATTCAATCTGGGTGCCCTCCATAAACAGGGAATGCACCTAGAGACCTGGGTTATATGGAACTGACATTGCTTACTCAGAAATGGAATTTCTGAGATCATTTAGTTCAACTCCCTCTTTTTACAGCTGAGGAAACTGAGGCACAGAGGGGGCAAGTGCCATCTTAGGTGAATGCCAGAACTGGACCAGAATGCATGACTCTTGACTCCTGGCCTGGTGACTTTGGTGCCCTTGACTGTAGATGGAAGGGGGCTGGCGGGGAAGAAAGGCAGAGCCAGGCAGATGGGAGGAAGTGGAGGAGGCAAGTGGTGGGAAACCGAAAGGCCATAAAGAGTCAAAATATCCATTCCTACTAGCTGTGTCCCCAGAACAGACAAGACTCCCACTTGCTCCTTAATAGATATAAACAGTGACAGAGAAGAACTGCACAGATGGATTGACCAAAGGCGTGCCATGCCGTTTGTGCCTCAGGACTAAGTGCCCTGTTTACTCAGACTCTTAACTCAACTCTTTAACTTTGTTCCTTCCTGGTAAGCCTTTTGAGACCTTTTCTGCCATTCTCCTATTTTCATTGTGGCTGCAGTTTAGAATCCACCTGCCCTTGTCTGAGGTTCTAGGCTGAAGGCAAATCCAGATGATGATGATGAACTTGGGCAGTGTGACTTGCCTGCAGTGTTTCACTTTCCTGAAAAGGGACTGTAGAGAAGAATAATAAGCAAATTCATGAGTCAACATTATATTTATCCTTCTATTGTGAGGAATGCTGCCTTGACTTCTTTTGTGAAGCATAATCATTTGTTAGTTTTAGTAAGTCATTTCTCTGCCCACTGATAAGGAAACAAAAAGGCATTGGCTGTTTCCTTTAATAGCCTCTAGAATGTGAGATGTAAGCTGTGGTCTTTGTTTGTTTTTAACTATTACTTGTGATCACAGGCTTAAGGGTTGAAGGGGGCCTTGGTGGACTGCCAGCCTCCCCACCCCTTGCTGTGCAGGAGGTCCCTTCCTAGTGGCACAGATCGTTGCCCTCTGCATCCCCACGGGGAGCTGCCTCCACCTCTGTCAAAGCACTTGCTTCATTTTGCTTTAAATTACTGTTATTGGAGGACTTTCTTAAGGCTCAGCTGTGAGCCCCTGAGGCAGGAATCCTGTCTCATTCCTCTTTGATCTCCCACAGCCCTCAACACAGAGCCTGGCCACCCTCCATACATATTTGAATGACTGACAAGGTGTTAACAGCCTTCAGAGGCAGCCACAGTTAGACACCTCTAATAGCTATGAAGTTCTTCCTAAAAGCAAGCAGAAATATGCCTCCCTGTGTTCCCTGTGGGGAGAGAGTGTAAACAGGAAGTAATGACAGAGGCCCAGGCATCCATAAGATGTACATGAGGGACCCTGGGGACAGGCTGGTGCCTTGCTATTAATTGCTTTTCTTGTATCCCTTCTGGCCAAAAGCACACAAGTTCTTTCCCAGGACAGGAAAACACAATAATCCTTAAAAGATCAAGACAAATGCGTGTGTGTGTGTGTGTGTGTGTGTGTGTGTGTGTGTGTGTGTGTGTGTGTGTGTGTGTGTTGGAGCAGGGGTGGTTTCCAGGACTTAAATCCAGTTTGGAAGACAGCTATATCAGATGCTGTCAATGTCCCCCTCATATCCCTTCAACTATCTGCGATGGTGTCCATACACATTGACAGCTTTGTGCGTTTCTCTACCCATGGTCATTCTCTGACCTAGGAAATGTGTTTAGCGTGTGATATATAGGTCAGGCTGGAAATACCGGGGACTTACTCCAGGAGGGACCTTCAACCAAGAGTGACAGGACTTGGTGCATTCCAGGTTCTTTACCTCCCAGTGGGACAGCTCGGAAGTGTGTTCTACACAGTTGGTCAAAAGGTTTCAGGAGGATGATCTCTGGCTCGTAGCAGTAGGAGCACATCTTTTATTAATTTTCCTCCCTTTTGTCTTTAACTTCCCCACTCCCTCACCACTGTGTTTCCTGGGATCACACCCGAATAAATGATCTGCCCCAAATCTCTTATTCAAAGTCTGCTTTAGGGGGACCACAACTATGAAAATGACACAAGCAGGAAATTTGGGGGAATTCAAATGTTATTGCCTTAGAAAACAGAACCATTAAAATTAGTACATGCGTTTTTTTCCCTCAAAGTGCAGAGTTGATTTCTCAGTCAATTTTATACATAGAGTCTGCTTCTAAAGGAAAATCTGTGTCCTAATTCAGATAACAGGGCTAATAATGATACCTAAAGTTTTAAAGGATAATTATTTCTGACTTTCTTAAGGCTCAGCTGTGAGCCCCTGAGGCAGGAATCCTGTCTCATTCCTCTTTGATCTCCCACAGCCCTCAACACAGAGCCTGGCCACCCTCCATACATATTTGAATGACTGACAAGGTGTTAACAGCCTTCAGAGGCAGCCACAGTTAGACACCTCTAATAGCTATGAAGTTCTTCCTAAAAGCAAGCAGAAATATGCCTCCCTGTGTTCCCTGTGGGGAGAGAGTGTAAACAGGAAGTAATGACAGAGGCCCAGGCATCCATAAGATGTACATGAGGGACCCTGGAGACAGGCTGGTGCCTTGCTATTAATTGCTTTTCTTGTATCCCTTCTGGCCAAAAGCACACAAGTTCTTTCCCAGGACAGGAAAACACAATAATCCTTAAAAGATCAAGACAAATGCGTGTGTGTGTGTGTGTGTGTGTGTGTGTGTGTGTGTGTGTGTGTGTGTGTGTGTGTGTGTTGGAGCAGGGGTGGTTTCCAGGACTTAAATCCAGTTTGGAAGACAGCTATATCAGATGCTGTCAATGTCCCCCTCATATCCCTTCAACTATCTGCGATGGTGTCCATACACATTGACAGCTTTGTGCGTTTCTCTACCCATGGTCATTCTCTGACCTAGGAAATGTGTTTAGCGTGTGATATATAGGTCAGGCTGGAAATACCGGGGACTTACTCCAGGAGGGACCTTCAACCAAGAGTGACAGGACTTGGTGCATTCCAGGTTCTTTACCTCCCAGTGGGACAGCTCGGAAGTGTGTTCTACACAGTTGGTCAAAAGGTTTCAGGAGGATGATCTCTGGCTCGTAGCAGTAGGAGCACATCTTTTATTAATTTTCCTCCCTTTTGTCTTTAACTTCCCCACTCCCTCACCACTGTGTTTCCTGGGATCACACCCGAATAAATGATCTGCCCCAAATCTCTTATTCAAAGTCTGCTTTAGGGGGACCACAACTATGAAAATGACACAAGCAGGAAATTTGGGGGAATTCAAATGTTATTGCCTTAGAAAACAGAACCATTAAAATTAGTACATGCGTTTTTTTCCCTCAAAGTGCAGAGTTGATTTCTCAGTCAATTTTATACATAGAGTCTGCTTCTAAAGGAAAATCTGTGTCCTAATTCAGATAACAGGGCTAATAATGATACCTAAAGTTTTAAAGGATAATTATTTCAAATAACAAAAGTCAGTAATATTTTGCTCTATTAAGGAAATGTGCTGTTAGAAAGTTCTCAGGTCAGACTAAAGAAAGAGATTATTTATGGGAGCCATTAGACATGAGGATGGATTTGTGTTCAAGTACTTCCTTAACCTTTTAACCATCCATGGAGACCTTTTTAATGAAGAGAGAACTTATCAACCTGGCTCAGCTTTGTGATGGAGTGCTTCATGTTAGGGACAGCTAAGATAAATGGGGACCGTGAGAGAAAAGGGAAAGGAAAATGAAGAACCTTCATTAAATTTACCCAATATTAATGAACAACTGCAGAGCCAATAGAACCAAGAGAAAATGCTGTTGCTGGATGGAGAATATTTATTATTATTTGAGAAGATTTGTAACAAAGAAAAAGGTGTGTAAGCAACTTGCCACCCTAATCCTTCTCAGGCAGACATTGTGTGATTCAGAAAAGCTCCCTGCAGGTGCCAAAATATTACTTGATTGTTTTGACACCTCAGACAATTAATAGGAGGGAACAGTTAAAAATAACCATGCTCTCTCCTGTCTTATATTTGTGGAGTTTTTCTTTTGTCTTGTTCCTTCCTGGAGGCTTTTCTGTTGGCCTAGCAGGAAACAGTGTACACTGTCATGAGTTTTTAATTGGCAATCAAAGATGACAATGAGCATGAAGACAACACAAGAAGAAAGGAGTTGGCAGGGCCAGGAGAGCCCTACAGATGCCTTTCAAGGATACCCACAGATGTCTTTTTGGGGTCACATGGGGAAATGTTCCTAAGTCAAGTAGGGATAAGAAAGAGTTCCACAGGTCTTATTTTTGGCATGGAAGAATGCGTGAACCCTGACTGATGGCCAGGGCCCCAGCTGTTTTGGTAGGAGGAGGCATGAGGTAGCATCAGAGTCTTTGCTTGATGATAGGAAGATGCAAGTTATCGTGTGACTTTGTCCTTTGCCCCTTCGGATGAGCACCACTGCCCTGTTGTATGTGGCACCAATGCCCTGAGTATGGCTGTCCTGATAAGAGAGGTATCTTTGCCTCCTCCAGCTTTTGCCCTAGTCTGAGCCATTGTTGCCAGAGAATAACTCTGGGAAGAGCCATTCTGTCCCCTTGGCATGACCTCAGTAGGTGATTCTGAGGATTACTAAAGTAATCCGTGTAAAGTTACTGTATTTGTGTGCATCAGTAGTTGACACAAAAACTATGTTGATCCTCAAAGTGGAAGGTCTCAAGTACTGTACCTGCTATTGGTTGAGATTTTATGTCATTGACAAAGACTTCCCCTGGGTCAAAAATGGATACACTAGTGTGGCCTATACTGGCCTCAACCTTTTTATTTTGGGTAGCCTCTTTCCCCAAATACCCACCCACTCGACAAGTGCTCTGTGGATGCCTTCTCAGCTTGCCCACTAAGAGCTCACTCTCCTTTGCCTCCCAGAACGCCTATGTCAACATCAACCGCATCATGTCTGTGGCTTCCCGCCTCTCCGAGGCTGGCCATTATGCCTCACAGCAAATCAAGCAGATTTCCACACAGCTGGACCAGGAGTGGAAGAGCTTTGCGGCTGCCCTGGACGAACGCAGCACCATTCTAGCCATGTCTGCAGTGTTCCACCAGAAGGCTGAGCAGGTGAGGCCAAGGGAGCTGTGTGTGCCATTGGCAGGCAGGGCAGAGGCAGGGACAGGGCAGGGTGAGAGCACATACACTGTCTGTGTAGGGAGCCCACCTCTCTTCGAAACACTGAAGACCCTGCTGAGTAGTTGCAAGGATAACCCAAGTTCGTTACACAAGGAGACGTTGGTTACTCTTGGTAGCTTACTTAACACCCAAACAAGAAGGAACCCAGAGCTTGTTCACATTCTGTTTTAGTACCTCATCATGTGTGTGTTAACTGTTGGCTTAGTTTGCGTTCCCTGAGTATTGACCAAAGGGGTGAAACTAAACTGAAAGTTGAGGGCTGAGAGCAAGGGGAAACTAATTTTCCATGGAGCACTTGCTGTGAATAATAATGATGTGGTAATAATACAATGGATAAAATCCTCAGGTGTTGTTCATTTTTGTGTTACACCATGATGTAAATGAAATTATTAACCAGCTTTTGTGTTGCAACTATGTTTGTCATTTGCAAACAAAAGCATCGGGGGACAATCAATTAACTACACACACCCATGTACATACACAGATGCACACACACACATGCAGGGTATTAAACATTTACTAATACACTACTGCAAAAATCACACAATCTGAGCAGATGAGATTTTAACCCAGGTGTGTCTAATATTAGAGCCTCTGGTCTTGACCTCTAAATTTACTTCTTTGTATGACATTTGGGTAGCTCACAGATAATGGAGAGTTGGACTTAAATGTCTCCCTATGTTACTCACCTAACATGGGAGGCAGCATGGGATAATTGAAACAGTGTAGGCTTTGAGGCCAGACACATATAGGTTCTAATCAGTAACTCTTAGGCAAGCCGCATCACCAATTGTGAGCTTGTTTCCTCATCTCTAAAGTGGGGGTAATCATAAATGTCACAGTGCTGTTTTAAAGATTGGAGAAGGAGAGTTTAAGGTGCCTAGCATGCTTTTTAAATGGTAGATATTTCTACTGTGGGTATTTGATCAACATACTGGTATCTTTGTATTTCCTCCATCTGTGTCTATTTTCATCATAAGTGAAGGACAGTCTCACACACTGAGAGAGATCTAGCCTTTTTTTTAAAAGGATGATGGGGGAAGTGACTGATAGTGACTGGTTCATTCTTAGTACCATGAGAAAATTCATGAGTCTTTTGTTCCACATGCACACGGGCTATTGGTTGAGTTTTACAGAGAAATCCCAAGGGCCTTGGAGAGGTGCTCCCCCTCAGCTGACACATGAATGTCAAGTTGCTTTCAGATTCCTCTGTAAAATGGTTATTGGTGGAGCAAAGAAGCTTCCGAGAAGGTAGCACATACATGTACTGTGATACTGGATGGTACCCAGCACTCTCTCAGAATTGTTAGGAGGTGGCCTAATGTGATGAAAAGAAAAAAAAAATGTACAGAATGAAAAATCAACCACAACAGCCAACAACCAAGGACTGGAATCTGACAGTGACACCAAGGTCAGAACTCAAGCAGTTGCAGAAAATGGCAGTGCCAGTGAGAGTAACTGGAGGAGTCAACTTCTATTTGAAGTTTCCTGACTTGGATTAGTTTGGAACAGAAGCAGATTTATTTGTACTGATTTTTTATTGTAGTTTCCTCAGGTATTACCAGTCCTTCAGGGAAACTCATAAACCATGCCTCTTATTAGCTAGAAAAAAAAAACACCACCAAACAATGATTCAAGGCTATTTCAATGCATTTATTTAGGCAGCTCTTTATTGTCCTCATATGGGCTGTTCTAGGCAATGAGATAAAAAGGTATTTAGGCAATTAATTTAAATGGAGCTGTGCAACCAGGCAAGAGGAATCACAGACAGAACCATTCCAGACTGTTGGGTGAAGAATTATTTGCGTTTTAGAGGTGAATTTTTCCACCCAATAAATCTAAGTGATTTCAGTTAGCTCACCCTTTGCGCATGGAGACTTAATAGTCTTCCACAGTTGTTAATTTTAATTTTTAAATAATTTTATGCCTGTCAAGATCTATATCTCTATATCAAATCTAGGGAGCCACTGCCACTGTAGGCACAGTACAGTCTGTCCCCCTGAGCTGCCTCTCCTCTCCCACACCTAAGGGTACTGATGCAACAGTGGGGATCTTGTTGAGTGTTAATCTCCTTCCCCTGTGGGAATGGTGTCTGCAAGCTCCCTGGGCTGCCTGATGGTCCTGTATGGGGTATTATTTCTGCCTCTTTACAACTCAGTATAACACTGTAAAGTCCACATGTGGAAACATGCTGTTACGTTATATGCAGCCTCTCACATGTGCCTATGAGTGTGCATGGGCCAAAAAGCTCTAGTGTATACATGTAGTGAATTGAGCTCTTTCCACAGCTGTATTTTATAGTGGATATAACCTGTTGAACATGCAGACAGCTCTCACCCCCAGCTGTTCCATAATAGTATCTTTATGGAAACCACACTTCCTGAACAGGTACTGTGTCTGACTTCTTATGTGATGTTGGTGTTTGTAGAATTTAAAGAAAATAATTCACACTTTGCAGTAGTCTCTGAAGCTTCCAGAGGTTCTGATGCTTCTTCCCAAGGAATCTGACCACCTCTACATAATCTGCCCATTGCCTACCCCCAGTGCTCCCACACTGACCCAGCCGGCATCTCCTTGCAGTTCCTGTCAGGAGTGGATGCCTGGTGCAAGATGTGCAGTGAAGGTGGCCTGCCATCTGAGATGCAGGACCTGGAGCTGGCAATCCACCATCACCAGTCCTTGTATGAGCAGGTGACCCAGGCCTACACAGAGGTAAGAACCAAGCAGGACACTCAGGGGTTCTGGGTGTGATACGTGTGGGTGGGTGACAAGGGCACTGGCCTATACAGTGTGAACTGGCCTGGTTTGAATACTACCCCAGGTGAGCTTGATGTGTGTTAAAGAACTGATGGCTTCTGGATGAGAGTAAGGATTTTGGCCACAGTCAAAACTGAGAGGCCATTTTTCTCCTTTTGGAGACATCTTTAAGATCCTTGATCTATGAATGATGGCATCTCCAGCCAGGAAGCTTTATGCAGCCATTACGGGTACCACCTTTGTGCATGGGTGTTCGTGCACACGCACACATGCGCAGGCACGCACACAAACACACACACACACACACGCATGTGTGTGCATGCATGCACCCCACCCTATGTATTATGATCAGACCGTCTCCTCTGGGGGAGGAATATGAGAAAGCAAGGCTGTGCTGCTCTGCAGTTTGCCCTCTGGCCAGTGAATGGGCATGTACACACTAGCCCTGCCACCCATTTCATGAAGCAGCTCATCAAAAGATACTAATTTTCTCAGTAGAAGGCCCAGAGGAAATTCACTATGGGGTGGAGATAATTGTTTGCAGGAGTGAGAAGCTGTCATGGAAGTGAAGGACAAAGTAAAAGGCTCTTCCACTGAAATTCCAAAGGCTGGGGGCATGGTACAAGTTAAGGGGGGGAACTTCTTGATGTTTCTTTCAAAATAAAAGGGAAGGGATAATTCGGTGCATCTGTGTGGATATACACAAGTAAGTAAGTTTACTAGTTCACTAGTTGGTATGAATTCTGATGGAGGGGCTGAAGGATACAGAGAGATGGGCTGAGTAAGGCAGCTAAATGAGGAGAAAGTGAATTCCCATCTGACCTATGGCAGTCCTCGAAGCAAGTCATTTAGAGCACTGTTGTTTTTCAAAGTGGGTTCCTGGACCACCTGCTCACTCACCTGAGGTGCTTGTTAAAGGTGCAGGTGCCTGGGTTGCACCACAGACTGAATCAGAATGCTAGGAAGTGGGACCTGGAACCTACATTTTAACAAATACTACCCCAGGTGAGCTTGATGTGTGTTAAAGAACTGATGGCTTCTGGATGAGAGTAAGGATTTTGGCCACAGTCAAAACTGAGTTTGAATCCTGGGTCCCCTGCTCAGCTGTGTGACCTCAGGCAAGTAATTTAACCATTCTAAGCCTGAGTTTCTTCTGTGAGATGAGGGTGATAACACCTACCTGTAATTTTAAGGGCTATTAAGACAGTGCATGTAATGTACTTGGCCCAGTGCCTGACAGTAATAAGCATTGGAAAATGGCAACAGGTTTCGTCATTATAGGAGTGGAACCTACATTTTAACAAATACTACCCCAGGTGAGCTTGATGTGTGTTAAAGAACTGATGGCTTCTGGATGAGAGTAAGGATTTTGGCCACAGTCAAAACTGAGTTTGAATCCTGGGTCCCCTGCTCAGCTGTGTGACCTCAGGCAAGTAATTTAACCATTCTAAGCCTGAGTTTCTTCTGTGAGATGAGGGTGATAACACCTACCTGTAATTTTAAGGGCTATTAAGACAGTGCATGTAATGTACTTGGCCCAGTGCCTGACAGTAATAAGCATTGGAAAATGGCAACAGGTTTCGTCATTATAGGAGGCCGAGAGGAGGGCTTGTGAGCCAAATCTGATCTCATCAGCTCTAATCCAAATGCTCCAAGGCTTTCTTTTCTAACAGAACTGTGCCTCTGCCCATGGGTCAAGCATCTCTAAATTTAGTCTTTGTAAAATACAAATACAAAGTATACACATAAGATTAATATTGTACTTCCACATTTCACATGTGTGAGGTATGGGTGTACTTACATAGAGAGACATGGTATTTCTCCCAGTTTATTCTCAGGCCTTAGCACTGTGGGATGTAGATGTCCCCTCCAGGCCCACTTTAGAGTTCAGTGGGCTGTCCCTGCCTCCTACAGATGTGGACCAAAGCAGAAGACTTTATTGTGTTGCTTCAGATTTCAGACTTGGCCTTCCATTTCTATCCAGCCTGCCCCGGGCATAGCACAGTTCCAAAAGACAGCATCTGCTCAGGTAGCCCTTAGGGCGCTTCCCAGGCTTGGCCACTGGATATTTGTTGTATTCACATCTCTGGAGGGTATGACCTCTGTATCATTTATAAGGTACTTGCACTTCCCCTCCCTTAGCAGGGTGGGAGGCAGGCATGGTGGAAGGGGGTGGGTAGAGGTGGTCACCTAGATTGCCTTATTCCACCTGCCAGATTTCCTCTCTTGTCTCAGCCACATTGTACTTGGCACTCCTCTTAATCAGCCTCCAGTCCCACATGCATTTCTGTTGCACTTCAGTAACACTGGCTTTATGTTCCTGAACTTTCTTCAGCAAAACTATTATCAGGATGTAAAAGTGGGGTGCAGGGACACTGTGAGTTCAGCAGATAGCTTCCCATTCATCATCCATCATCATAAGACTGGAGGTGGGAGCACACCTCCTCCCCCACCTTGCTAGAAGGAAAAGAAGACTATTTCAACTCCAAATTAGCTTTGATTTAATTGTTAACCAAATGAATTTAGGGACTTCAAATTCCTATCAATTCCCTAGTCATCACTGTTTTAAATTGGAAAGACACATGCTCTCTACTGGGTACTCTGCCAGCACTGGAGAGCCACGGGTGTTGATCAAATGATACCACTTTCCAGAAATTTTGGTACTGAAATTGTGCCAGGATTCCAATAAAGAATGACAGGGAATGTTGCTTCCAAGGCCTCAGCACTGAGGGTGAGTGCTGGAGAGCCCAGGAGCGTGGATGTTGTGTCCACAGTCTAAGGGTCCCTCTCTCCCTTATTCTGCATGTTCTGTTAAGATGGGGATGTTACCACTCTCAAGAGAAAAAAGCAGAAATTGTATAGAAGGAGAGCAAAAGGAAGATAAATATATATATAAAAAGAAAATGACAAGGAAATAAAGAAGACAGGAGAGAGGAATGATGATGATGGTGGTGGTGACGGAGAAAGAGGAGATAGAATTGGTAGCCAGTACTCGTACCAGGCCCTATTCTAAGCAATCCACATGTGTTATACCATTTTATCAGCACAAGTACATGAATTATTACCTTTACTATCCCTATTTTTCAGATAAGGAAACTGAGGCCTGACAGTGTTAAGTAACTTGGTCTGGTCACACATTTAGAAGTTTAGAGCCAGGTAAGGGAAGGTGAAGGAGAAAGAGAGAGAGGGTGGTGGTGTCAGCTTATATTCAGCTTCATTTCTGAAATGAAATTCTACTGCTTGACCTGGTCAGTAAGTCAGTCAAACATTTATCAAGTACTGCATGTCAAGCACCGTTCTAGGCACTGCGGAGAGATGAGCAAGGCAGAGTCCCTGCCCTCACAAAGCTAAAATTCAAGAGGTAAAGCGAACCTGATTCTGGAGTCTATCAGACAGCCCTCTGCTGCCCCAGCAACTTTGCTCCCCCAGGATCCTAGGACGCTCTGCCTGGCCACCATGGCAGCTCTGGCTGGCGCATTCCTTGGTTGTCGTGGGTCTGGGTCCTAGTCTTAGTCCTTGTCAGGGATGCCCAGGCAGACCATCCTTGCCTCTCTGGGCCTGGGCTGCCCTCTGCTTCCTTGACAGGACCTCCTTTCCTTCCTGCAGGTCAGCCAGGATGGGAAAGCCCTGCTGGATGTGCTGCAGCGTCCCCTGAGTCCTGGAAACTCTGAGTCCCTCACAGCCACAGCCAACTACTCCAAGGCGGTTCACCAGGTGCTGGACGTGGTACATGAGGTGCTGCACCACCAGCGGCGGCTTGAGAGCATCTGGCAGCACCGCAAGGTGCGGCTCCACCAGCGGCTGCAGCTCTGTGTCTTCCAGCAGGACGTCCAGCAGGTAATAGGCTGCTTCCCTGTGCCAGGCACCACCCCGAGTGGACAGATGGCTCGGGCCCCTGACCTAAGTGGTGAGGCCTGGGAACACCTCATTTATGGAAGGAAAAGGGCAATTCAGCCCCCAGCTGCATCCCCCACCCCAATACCTTCTGGACTGGTTAATGGCATGCTTTTTACCTAGGCAGCTTTACAGACTGGGCCTTTACACCCTCGGACATTGGGAAGGGAGATTCAGTCTGAAAAACAGCAACTCCTTGTTGTGACATAGTTTCCTTTCAGGTAGAGCTTGACTTTCACTCAGGCATGAGCTTTCTTGACCACTCTGGGCCCTAGGGGGTATCTGAGCACTGTCAAGGTTGGGCCCCACATAAAATGAGTTCACTTCTCAATCAAGGATTCAGTGGCCTGCTAAAGTTGGGATGTGCTGGGGTGCAGGGACTTTAAGGGATTCTTTGGCAAGATTGGCCTTGGGAAACCAGATTCAAAACATGGGTGTTGATGAGTGTACATGCCATAATTAGAGGTTATTTCTGCCTTAATCTGTCTTTTTGCATTATTATACCAGTCATAGCTTTTTCCCTTACCACAAATAATAAAGAAATGGTTATGTTTTGACCATAAAAGAATAGCCTTGCCCCAAATGCCCTTTCAAATGAAACAATTCATTCTTTTTCACTTATACTTTCTCTCTGTCTCCCTGGGGGCTCCTGGGAGCTTTGCTCTGAGGACTGATACACTCGGGGGGAGAGAGCAGGTTGGGAGCTGGAGGCTTAGTGTCGTCTCTCTGCCAGGTCACTGAGAGGCAGGGTGGAGGGGGGCACTTGTATTGTCACACTTTCCTGTAACCACCACATAATTTCAAGATTACATGTGTAAAACAGCACTTCACTCTCCTGCCATACCTTCAGGGATATTAACCAGGTGTGATCCAAAGGTGTGTCGAAATATCTGCGGGAAATTGGAAGCTGAGGATATGTCTTCTTTGGAGCATTGGTTCCCTTCGTAGGTATTGATGGGAGAGGCCCAGGTGCTGGGTGCTCTGAGATAGCGGGACAGTGGGGCAGCTACCACTAGCTGTGACATCCTCTGGGAGTATGTGGGTCTTCAGGAGCGTCCCCCATGACTAGGCTGCCCTGACTCCCTTGTAACACCCCTCCCCTCTTACACCCTGACTGGGGCCCTGACTGAGTCATCAGAGGCAACACCTCAGCCTCGGGAGAGATGGGCCCTGTTTGCATGCTGGCCCCAGATCTGAAGCCCTTGTGGGACCTGCTGGGAATGAAGGAACAAATGAATCGGTTGCCTACTCCTGCCATCTGGAACTGTCCAAATAAATATATCATCCCCAGCACAGGAGAGCACATCTGTGACTGAGACAGAGTGAAGCGTCAGCCTCTGGAGGCACACAGAGCAGGCATTGCTGTTTTAGTGGACTGCAGGTGACTGGCGAGATTACCCAGGTTCTGCGGCTTCCTTGGTATGCTTCCAGCTCTCCTGCTGTTTGCACTGGGGTTTGGAAAAGGGCAGAGGGGCTGCAGCAGGGCAGGTAAAGGCCTCCACAATGGGAAGGACTCCTTTTTCTTTTCACTAATCAACAATTTGTTTAAATGTCAAATAAATGTCTAAGTGCTACACCAGCAAGGGCATATTTTTCTTCTTCATGAGGCTGTTAGGAAACCCTTTCAGGAACTGATTTGTACTGTCCCATTCATCTGACCTAGTGATGTAAGAGCACTGTGAGAAGAGGAGCTAGGTTAGTGCCTGATGACTCCAGGTGGGTTACTAACAATTACTAGCTCTGGGAACTGATGTTATCAGACTTTTCTGTGATCCTTCTGACATCTACACTGAAGCTAGGGAAGGGTTTAATAAAACTACGCCTATGGCTGTCCACATCATGCTCTTAAAAAGGAGATCATTTCTGAAATTTTGGCCCTACCAATTCATCACTACTGTACAAATCACATTGTCAGCTCTGGGCAATAACCAGTGGAAGACTGCAATGTGGGTGTGATGGGGTTTGGCTTTTCCAGGAGAACTGAGTTCCAAGGATGGTTAATTCCATTGTTCTTTTCGGGATATGTGAATATGACTTCCAGGATCATGGCTTCATTCACCCATTTTCCCACCCACCCTCACTCTCTCAACATGTATCTGTCACTGGGACAGATGCACAAAGGAAAATGTGGAAAGACAAGGACTACTAAACCTGGTGATGTGTCTCAAATGCTTACCTTTCATCCAAACAACCACTTGAGCCTGGCAGGTGCTTCAGAAGGAGCTGGACATAATGCACTCAATGGTCAGAATGAAAGATGTGGACTTTGGTCTCCTGGCACCCAGAGTTTTATTTATCATCTTTTATTTTTCATGTTTCATTGCTTCTATTCCAGTATCTCCATGAGAGTATCCCTTCTCTGTATCCCTTGTTGCTCTTAGGTACATCTAGCATGAAGCTGGGGTTCTCTTTATATTTTCTGAAATAACATTTTTACTTAAGCTGAAATTATCATTGGAAGATCCCCAGTTTCTGCTTCTGTGAAGTGAGCACCATTTAGGCCTCTTTCCCAACCTATCTAGTAGTTGCTGGTGAGTACGTGGAATCTACCTGCAGGAATTGTAATGTGAAAATCTTAAAAGGTTGCTGGAATTTACAGCCCAAGCAGAGAATACAGGGACAAAACCTCAGTGCTCATGAAATATCCTGGTACTCATTGGTCATTCAGAAATCTTGGGTCTCTGCAATGGGCCTCACACTGCCCTGCACTAGGTTTTAGCAAGATGCCTAGTTAATTAGAATGGCAAAGAAATACCCATTTGAAAAAGAACAGTTTTCCCAGAGCATGCCAATCAGTGTGCAAGGTAACAGAGTATTGATAGAACAGTTATAAAGGCACAGGTGTGAGAAGTCAGAGTTGGTGTCTTGAAGGAGGAGAGAATTGATTGAACCATATAGTCTGGATATAAGACTCCTGAGCACATTGGGACTTCAGAGATGCTTACCAGCAGGCAAAGTGGGAAACATGTGAGCAAGCATCAATGACTGGTGCAATACAGAGCTGCAGGTAAGAACCTGGGCTTTGCACTCTGATGGCCTGAGTTTAAATCTTGCTCCAACAGATCTTGGCTGTGTGACCTTGGGCAAGTTTCTTTACTCCTGGTACTTCAGTTTCCTCACCCCTAAAGCAGCAATGATCATAGAATCCAACTCACTGGACTGAAGGAGATACAGGGAAAGGGTTTACCACCCTGGCTGCCCAGCATGTGGTAGATCCTCATCAGCCTTGTCATTAGTCCCATGTTCTCTGAGTGGTCCTCGGGCGCCCCTTGGTGCTTGTTCTGTTGGGGACCCCTTAGCATGACTCCCCTGTTTCTGTGATAGCAACTGCTTCATGGCTCTGTTTAGTTCCATTTCATTCAGTGATTAAATATCAGAGCTGTCAAGAACCTGGTCTAACCTACTATATGGTAAAGGAAATTGAGATCCAAAGATGTAAAGTAACTTGTTCATAACCACACAGTTATTTAATGGTAATCCCAGGACCAGAAGCTAAGTCTTCTGGCTCCCAGTCCTGGTGTCCTATAGAGAAGCCACACAAGACAGAGAAGTAGAACAGGCAGAGAAACAGGAAGCACTCATGCATACTTATGTAGAAGGGGGAAAGACGGACAGACACGCACATACCCCAGAACAGGGAGAGACAGAGACAGACATTGAGGGGAGAAAAAGAATGGGAGAGAGACTTAAAAACAGAGCAGAGAAAGACATACATGGGATGGGAGGAGAAAGAGGAAGAGAGTGAGGAGAGTGAGCCGGCCTCTGCCTGCCTGTCTTCCTGCCCCATTGCCATTCCGGGGATGGTCTTGCCCAAGTAGGAATACTTTTTCCTTTAAGGGCCCAAAGCAGCGTAAAGCAGAAAGATGAAAACCAAAGATAGGCACCAGTGAAAGATTCCCTTTAAATATCTGCAGCCTCCCTGATTTGAAAAGATATATGCATTCCTTTGTTTATTGCCACATTATTTACAATAGCCAGATATGGAAGCAACCATACCGCCCATCAATAGATAAATGGATAAAGAAAATATGGTACATTTACACAGTGGAATATTATTCAGCCATAAAAGAAATCCTGCCATTTACAACATGGATGGACCTAGAGGGTATTATGCTCACTGAAATAAGCCAGGCAGAGAAAGACAAATACCATATGATTTTACTTATTTGTGGAATAAAAAAAATAGAACAAAATAGCAGTAGACTCATAGACACTAAGAAGTGAACTGTGGTTACCACAGGGGAGGGGCTGGGGTGAGTGGGTAGGTGAGGAGGGTGAAGGGGGATAAAGGGGCACAAAAGTGCTCATAGTATAAGGTGGTCACTGGGATGGAAGTGCAGCATGGAGAATACAGCCAGTGACTCTGCAGCATCTTCCTGTGTTGACAGATAGTAACTGCACTAGTTGGGGTGAGAATTTAATAATATTGTAACTATTGAACCACTGTGTTGTATACGAAACCAATATAAGATTGCATATCAATGATACTTCAGTAAAAAAAAGGGATAGCACTGAGTCCAAGAAAGAGACATGTCTAAATAAAAAATAAAATAAGTATTCTGCAGCCAGAATTGGCCTGACCTGTTATCTCTGTGGTATGCCTACCTTGAGTCCCAACCGGTGTACTCCTAGCTTTCTTTTCTCTGCTGGGCTGAGGGCAGTAGAAATGTCTCCAAGCATCAAGCTGGAACTTGGGTTCCATAAGCTGCAGAAAGGTGTGGATGGGGCCCACCTGCTGTAATGTTGCTAATGGAATAATTTTCAGCTATTGTTTTCCCAGTTTAGAGTGGCACGGTACTGAGCAGCAGCCAAAAGAACACCCTTGCCAACATCAGCCACTCCATTTACCGTCTCTTATTTTCCCCTAACTCCTGTGGCTTCCCACGGATCTAAAGGGCCACTTCCAAGCCCAGATAGACTTCGCTTTGTGATGAGAAGAACAG